GCAGCTCCGGCCCGCCCGTCGCGCGCCGCTCCAGGCCGCCCACCCCCGCCCCTACTACCGGGGATGAAGAGTCACCCACAAAGTTACATCACCAGTTACACCGCTATGCGCGCCCTTCAAGGTCGTATAGTACCGACCATGTGCTGCTCCAGCAGGTGGTGACTTGAGTAGAGTAAGAAGACAATGTCTCGTTTGTATAGTATATTTATAGACATTTTATTTAAAACTAAATACAGTACAGTACAACGTTTAAAGTGGCATACAATGTTTTAGAACATACAATAAAAATTGGGCAGTTTGTGAGCAATTATAGATTACCATGAAACACAAATCTCAGTCGTTTAGTCGAATTACTGGTATATTTAGATTTTTATTACAAATCACAATGGAATGGCACTGTTTGTACACATTTCACACAAGAGCACTTCTTGTGTAAAGTCCCCTCTTCTTTCACAGCCATTTCGAACGCACGAAGGGTTCGATACCTTCTGACTTGAGTCGTGACAGTATTGGGCGGTAAATTTCGCGGCTGAATGGCAAAACCATGCCGTGGCTCTGGATCTCTCCTGCGGAATAAGATGAAGTGTACGTTAGATGTGACATTTGCAAAGCTCTGGTTCAAGTTGCACTGTGTACAGCACGAAGTTTGTTCTCACCGTCAAGCACCATCTTGGCGGCGATGGCGGCGGGGAAGCCCACCGTCCTGGCCATGGCCGAGTGGCCGTGGGGGTCGCCGTAGGTCACCAGGTTGATGCCGCGCAGCTCTCGGCGACCGTCCGGCCACAGGATGTCCACGTCGTGCCTCAGGATCACGATGTCCCGCTCGTGTGGCTCCAGCACCAGCCTCTTGGACAAGTAGTGCGACAGCGTGTCCAGCGGGGTGTCCATTTTCTGGATGGGGTCGTCGGAGAGCAGGCCCAGGTTCTCGATGGCGGCCAGCCGCTCAGCACTGCCGACACGCTCCGCCAGCTTGCTCTTGAGGTTCTCGAAGAAGATGTCGACGTCCGCGATGCCCAGGAGGTTGCAGACAAAGGCTCTCTGGAATCACAGGTCCGGGGGTAAGTTGGGTATGTTATAGAGGGAAGGGGGGGGGGGCAGGTGTTGCGCGCCCTTACCCAGGTGATCTCGGGGCCCTTGGGGTGCAGGGCGGGGTGAGGCTCGGCGTTGATCAGGCCCAGGATCTGCAGGCTCTGGACGGTGTCGGAGAAGCCCCGGTAGCGCAGTGTGCCGCGCAGCACGGTGTTGGCCTCGCCGGCGATGCCGTAGAGCTGCGCGTACTGCATCGAGTCCCGGTTGGGGTAGCCCTCCAGGGCGAAGCCCGGCAGGAAGTCGAGGTCGTGCGCGCAGCGCATGAGCTCGCCGCCGGCGGGCACCTCGACCACCTCGTTGTTCCGGAGGTGCTTGGCCGTGGCCAGCGTGTTGAGGAGCGCGGCGCGCGGCGACCACGAGAACTTGTAGCGCAGCGCGTTGTCGGAGCACTCGGGCGCGGGCAGGCCGCCGCAGTACGACACGAACGACACCACCTTGCCGCCGCCCTGGCGCACCTCCTCGAAGCACTCCATGGCGAGCAGGTGGTCGATGCCCGGGTCCAGCCCGACCTCGTTGACCACCGTGATGCCGGCCTCTACGGCGCGCTCGTGCAGCGCCTGCAGCGCGGGCGTGCAGTACGAGGCCGTGACCATGTTGGTGCGCGTGTCGATGCAGGCCTCGGCCACCGTGTGGTGCAGGCCGTACGGCAGCAGCGAGATGACCACGTCGGCCTCCTCGATGAGCTCGCGCAGGCTGTCGGGCCGGTTGACCACGTCCATGAGCACCGGCCGCACGCCCGGGTACTTGCTCGCCAGCTTGTCCGCCTCGTCCTTTAGCGACGACGCTGTGGAGTGACGAGACCACGTATATATTTAGCAGGCCGCACGGATGTTCGCGGGAAACTATAGTGTGGTGTGATAACAAATTTGTCGTGTTTCCATACCGACAGTGACGGCCACGTTCTTGTCCCGGCTTAGGTATTCGATGACGGGCGCGCTGACATAGCCCGCGCCGAGCACCAACACGCGCTGCGCGATCTCCTCGGTGCAGACCTGCTTCTGCTTGTTTCGCCTACAACGGGGAGAAAAAGGGAGAAATAATATAATGTAATTCAGAAATTCAGGTGTGATACAGGCGACAGCTGTGCAGCCCGCGGTCCGGTGGCACTCACGTGTTCTGGTTCCTGAGCTCCTGGATGTACTCGAAGTTGGGCGTGAGCTTGCCATTGCTGGCAATGATGGCCTGTGCAGGGCGTGACGAGTCATTTGTATTCATATTTTATTCGGATGAGCGGGGATTGGAGGAGGGGGGAGGGGTCACTTACCCCGTACACAGAGGGCGGGAAGGACTGCTTCTCGAGCGGCACCGTGGCGTCCGAGAGGATGATGCTGAGCGCGTACGGGTACAGCAGGTCGCCGAAGAAGTCGGTCGACTCGCGCGGCAGCTGGGTCGGCATGTTATCGATGGAGCAGACCAGCACGCCCGGCCCCTTGAAACTGCAAAAGAGGCAGGCGTACAGATAAGGGAGGTCGCCAAGGCACAGTATGGATGGGGGGAGG